CATAATGTAGTGGAGTAAAAAGTGAGATATTTGACTTTGAAATGTAGTGGAGTGAAAGAAAAAAGTCACCAAAATGGAAAAACGTCAGTAAAGTGCAGATACACAAAAACTACATAAGTACAGTAACGAATTACATTTACTTAGTTACTGTCCACCACTGGTGATATCACAGTGCAAATTATGATGGTGTGTAGTGTGGAGGTATCGTAGAGCCTCCCAGCTCTAGTCTCATTAGAAAGTTACTTTTTATTTTTATGCTATGGGCAGCCATTTTAGACAACAGGTATTGTAGTGAATTGACTACCTTTTGTGCACATGCACATCACTCAGGAATATAGACATTATGTATTATCACAATTTCTGCTGAATCTATTTAAGTGAACTTAAGATATGTTCATGAATAGAAACAGCAGAAACTGTAAACATGATGTTGCTCATCATAATCTCTAGATGCCTATATGATGTGGGAAAAAGTCAGCTCAACTAAATTTTCGACAGTAAACTTGTTGGATGATCGAGTACATCTGAGGTAAGTGGAAAACTCTGTGAATCTGATTTTTGGCAGAACCGTTCCTTTACTGTACACTTACAGAATATACTGGGATCAGTTTCAGAACTCAAAACATTCATCTTTAGTAGTAATATAAAAGTTTTGCTTTGGTTTTTTTTTTACCAATTACTGTACAGGCTATTTCCAAAGATACAACCCAATCAAATCAGGAATATTTTCAGATGGCAGATACAGAAAAAACACTACTGAAAATCATCATCAACATATGCGTTCCAATCGGGAGGCAGCTGTCTAAGTAGGCAGCATTCTAAGGCAGCATTTGCGTGCTCCCGAGACAAAGGCTGTCCCATTCAGAAGGCAGCATGAGGCAGCTGCCTTCTAAGGTGCCTTATTTTGACCAAATCATGAAGGCAACATCGCATGTATCCTTCTCAGCGAAGGCAATCCCACAACACTGTTCACCGGCCGAGAGTTCCATCGCTCCCGTCTGATCAACATGGCGGACAACGCGGCCGTTTTTTGCAGGCCGAGGAGTTTAAAATGCGAGTTACTTGTGTAAAGTATTGAACATATTTGTGTTTGTAGGTCTCTAGAAATTGTTCCTGTGGTGAAATTCTGGCAGTTCAAGGTGAGTTGACCGGCTGCGTTTGTAGCTTGTTAGCTTGGTAAAGCAGCGTTAGTTAGCTTAGCTACCGGGCTAACTGTGTAAACGCGCCGGCTCTTCAAAACGAGAGAGTCCGGTTTAAAATACTGGCTGTTTACTGTTTAGTAGCGTTTAGCTTCGTTTAGCATCAGTACTCAGGGATTTTTTTCTGTCCTCAGGAACGAACGCTACAGCGGCAGAGAGGTGCTGTCTGAGGGGCTGAGGAAGAGGAGCGGTCACAGGGAGAAAACTGCACTGAATGACAGAAAGCAGCTGACTTGCAGATGAAAAATAATTTAACTTATGTAGAAGTTCAAAAATAAAACGTTTTTTTAAGTAAATACTACAGATGCTTATTTTTACTGCTCCGCTTGTCTTGTACTGGTTTACTTACCACAGTCACAGAAGTGTGAAGTGAATGTTGACGGCTAAATTTCAGAATAGAAGCTCATAAATATCAGATGAGAATTCATAAAATAAAATGCATATTAGCTGCTTAACAGATTGTGTGGAATCCCTTTTACTGTTTATCCTTTGTGTGTTAGAAATAAAGCAGGTTCATTAAGGTGGATGAGGACGGAATGAATTGAAATGATTCATAAACTAATAGTCTCGATTATCTGTGTTTATCTGGGCTGCTGAGTTGAGTACATAATGATAGATATGACTCCTTACATCAGCCTGTTCTTCATACACAAATTTCCACAGCAGTGTCAGTGCAGGAAAACGGCTGCTGCAGATTCAGAGCCGTCCTTTTACACTGAGATGATCCACCTTTACAGTCGGAGGTGAGTGTAAGCTAACCAGCGACTGGGAGTAAACAGATAGTGAACGTTCTGGCGTATGATGGCTCTGAAGGTCTGTCCCAATGCGATGCCTACTAAGGTTCCTTATCGGTTAAAATGCTGCCCAACAAGAGAGCTGCCTTAGAAGGCAGTGACTAGTTAGGCAGATGCCTCCAGAATGGAACACACTATTAGTCTTACGTAACTATCACTACAGTAAGTGTACTTACCTTAATACTTAATACTTAATACTACTCTTTACATCTCTGATCCTGGGTAGGCTCGCCATCTCTGCAATGTCCAGGAATTGAAAAAAAGACAAAAAATAAAGAAAATAACTAGCCTGCGTGTACATGTTGTAGGTCACATTTAGATAAAAAACTAACCTACACACCTGTCAACACTTAGTCCACTTTATTTCTCTTTTTTCAGCAATTATTTTTCTTTCTCAGGAACTTCTCTCGCAGCTGCATCCAAGCCTTACATCACCAAGCGCAATGCAAAGCGTCGAATGCAGTGGTGTAAAGCGCCGCCACTGGACTCTAGAGCAGTGGAGACGTGTTCTCTGGAGTGACCAATCACACTTCTCTGTCTGGCAATCCTATGGACGAGTCTGGGTTTGGCAGTTGCCAGTAGAATGGTACTTGTCTGACTGCATTGTGCCAAGTGTAAAGTTCGGTGGAGGGGGGATTATGGTGTGGGGTTGTTTTTCAGGAGTTGGACAATTTCATGTGTCCAACTTTGTGGGAACAGTTTGGGGACGGCCCCTTCCTGTTCCAACATGACTGCGCACCAGTGCACAAAGCAGCTCCATAAAGACATGGATGAGCGAGTTTGGTGTGGAAGAACTTGACTGGCCTCAACCCAACAGAACACCTTTGGGATGAGTTAGATTGGAGGCTGCAAGCCAGGCCTTCTCGTCCAACATCAGCGTCTGACCTCACACAAGTGTGCTTCTGGAAGAAGGTCAAAAATTCCCATAAACACTCCTAACCCTATATATATTCCAATAAGTGTTTGGAAGATGGTCTGTGTACTAATGTACCTCAAAACATGCCTTTTTTTCGTTCAATACCATTTTGTGTGAGGCCTTTTGACTATATATATATAGTGTATGTATATATAGATATATATACACACACATATATATATATATATATATATATTTATTGCTAACAAACACCAAAAGGGAATAGTCATCCACATTGTTGCCACTGTGACAAATTCTGACTCCCCTTCACATGACCATGCGGGTATATGGATGCTTGAGGGGGGCAGTCGTGGGCTGGAGGGAACCAGCCTTGTGACCGGAAGGTCGCTGGCTTGATCGCCTGAGCTGACAGTACGTGACTGAAGTGCCCTTGAGCAAGGCACCTAACCCCCAACTGCTCCCTGGGTGTTGTGGATAGGGCTGCCCACCACTTCGGGCAGCTGTGCTCACTGCCCCTAGTGTGTGTCAAACAACAGAAATCAACAAGTCTGTGCAACCTGCTATAAAACCAGGATATAGTGAGTTGAGGGAACTTTGGGCTTGTTATTTATGAAAAAGATTTGGGTGACAATTGGCTTTTAGTGTCTGTTAGCATTGTTAGCCTTCTATCTCCAGAGCTAAACTAAAGAAGCAGGATTTAGAGACCAAACTTGTCTTGACTGATGGACTACATCTCAAGTAATTGGTAAATTGTCAATGTGATTGTTCACTGAACAATTCCTCTAACCTTTAATCTTATTATACTCCAGAAATATCTTCTTGATTTTCCAGAAATTATGAACCAAAAAACGGGCTGGCCACTGTCATATGCTTTGCACACTGCTGTAGTATTCAGTGCTAAGCTGACGTAACAGTCGGTGAGCCAAGACTTTCCTTTTCAACCAGTTAGCCTTTGACCTTCCAGCTAACAGAACTGCACTTATAGAAAATTCTTTATATTCAGGCTCAGGAGGTGATGATTGTCTTTTAATCAATATTAATTAATACATCAAGAAGTTATTAGTATTGATGTTGCTCATACAGTAAATAAAATAACCACTAAATATGTGTTTGTAGTGAAGCCCTCAGTCTCCTTTAGGGTTAAAAAGTCCAGTTCTTAGTCTGCATGTTCAGTGAAGTAGTCCTAAATTATTACCATTATTAAGATTAGTGATTTCACATTATTAAGATTCAATGCAAGTTATGAATAATGCAAGTTATGAATAATAAAGGCTTTGGAAGTTTAGTTTGGCTGATTTTGTATCAAATGTCAGTAGTTTTACATCAATTTCACAAAAAAAAATCAACTTTTATGTGAATAATTGTTTTATTTATTTGGTTGTATGACAAAGAAAATGACCATTATTAATACAATAGATACACTCTAAAAACTTCCCAGTATCTGTGTGCCCTAATAGACTTCTGTGACAGTTCAATAAAGTAAATCAATGTGTCAAAGAGGCTTTAAGCTTTAAAGAGGCTAATAATGTTGGAAAAGCAATTAGTAAATAGTCAACAACAATAAATGTAACTAATAAAAGTTCAGTAAGAGAAGACAAGTTATTTTACTTTTCACCCTCTACTGTCCTAGCCTTCGTCCCATGTATACAAGCTGTTGAAAAGATTATCAGTTTTGATTGAATATGATTAATACACAAAACTTAGTGCAGCAAAACAGGAAAATTAGTAATTTTAAGCATGCTATAAGCCAATAGGCAATTGGAATATACACAGTCGAGTCACATTATTATGACCACCAGCTAATAGTAACCGCCGTGTGCAGCACGGACAGCAGCCAGACGGGCTGGGAGTGACCCAATAAGGTCCTGGTAGGTTGTCACAGGTATCTGGAGCCATGCTGACTGCAGTGCATCCCACAGCTGCTGAAGGGAGTGTGGAGGAGGATTCATAGAGCAAACACAACGATCAAGGTGGTCCCATAGATGCTCATTTGTTTTCTAGTCTGGGGAATTAGGGGGCCAGGGTAGAACGTGGAAGTCTTGATCATGCTCTTCCCTCCAATGTCGGACATTTCTAGCCGTGTGATGTCGCATTGTCTTGCTGGAAGACCCCATCTGCCCCAGGGAAGACAATCAGCATGTATGGGTGTACAAGATCTGCAAGGATGGATTCATACCCAAATCGATTGAGAGTGCCTTCCACATGGATTAGTAGACCCCAAAAAAAATGCCACGAAAACATTCCCCAGACCAGAACGCTGGCACCATCATCTTGTGCATTGTCAATAGTAGGAAGTGACCATAAAAATGTGACTCTACTGTGTAGTACAATGAAGAACAAGAACAAAGAACAAAATGATTACAGGATAACAATTTTGTTTTGGCTGTCAAACCATCTGTTCATCCTCCCTCATGCCGTGTCATCAGATGAAGGAAGGTATGACATCAACGTTGCAGCTGGTGTTGATTTTGGTGAAGGCTGAGCACTGGAAATCAGCAACAAGCTTCCTAAGGCCAGTGCGGTAGGGCCGGAACCGCACTGAGATCTGCATCCTTTCTCTTGGGCCAATCAGAGCAGCTCTGTTCCAATCAATAAATGTCAATTAATTCCAACTTCCAACTACAAACTGCTTTAGGTTGGTTAGTGTTTGCAGGTCTAAGCATGATCAAAAATATCAGAAGTCACTACAGTCTGAGCAGTTGCTGTGTGTGAGTGTGTATACTAGGTTTATGCCACATTGTGGGGACCAAAAACTGCCTATACAGTCACGTTGTGAGGACCTTTCTTCCTTGTGGTGACCACAAGCTAGTCCTCACAATGTAAATCATGTTTTAAGGTTAGGGTTAGGTTTAGGGTAAGGGTCAGGGTGTGTATCTCACCGAATTATCTCTGGCTGCTGCAGCAAACCGCTCCCCATCAGTGTGATGGAGCAATTTTTTAAAGTTTCAGGCAGAGGATTCTCAAACACCACCTTTGCCATGATCTCAGTGAGCTGAACAGCTGTTTCATCCACCTGATAAAGAGAATACATACAGAACATTTGTTTACTAAATGGATGTCTTATTACTTAACAGTGCAATGCATGGTTAACTTATACAAAAGAGCAGAGGCCCAGAGATTAACCCCTTAATAGCCAGGGCCCAAAGTTATACTAACACTTTTATAACAGCTCAGCTAGTCTTTGTGAATACTGAATATTATGCAACGGTTAGTTCCGGCCACGTAAGCTGATTGGTTGAGAAGAGTTCTAACTGTGCTGTTATTTCTCCAAAACATCACGTTTTTTTCACAAACACTGTATCACTCCACTGAGATGCTGTTACTAAGCAACGACTATTGCTGTAGGAGATGCTCAAGCCATTTGAATGTTTCTACTTCTTACTTTGCCACAAACAGAAAATGGACACTTTTAAGATCACATTTGACCGACAGCTGATTTGGTCAGACTCCGAAGATGAGACGACACTAAATTCCCAAACTGTCATCACCACTGAGCAGCTTTTCAGTCGGCAGCTGAGACAGAAGAACAGCTAAACAACCTGGAACAGCCAGAAATGAACCCAACACCATTTGCCAAACTAAACGGGCTGTAAGATGCTTTACAGACTGGCTGGAACAAAACAACATTAATACTGATCTGGCAAAAAAGGACAAAACTGAGCTGAACTTGATATTGGGGCAGTTTTATGGTTCAGTCCGATTTGGTCTGACTCTGAAGATCAGACTACACGTTTGGCGAATGGTATTAGGTTCATTTCTGGCTGATTCCAGGTTGTTTAGCTGTTCTTCTGTCATGACTGCCGACTGAAAAGGTGCTCAGTGGTGATGACAGTTTGGGAATTTAGTGTGAGGAGCTGGAGAACGAACTGCCGGCTGTGCAGCGAGTGGGTGGAGCTCGTTACTCTGACGTAGCAACAAGCTGCTCGTTAAGGAACTGTAATTTGGTGAAGGAACTGCGAACATTAAAACATATTAAACGCCGCGTTCACGGCCCAGTTTATTAATTTATTACTTTATTTATTTAACTGTTGTATTAAAGCAATAGAACACTCGAGGAGTGTGTTATCGCCAATAACATCACGGCTGTGATGATCTACGGTGATCAAAGCACAGCCATGATGTTATTTCACGATAACACACTCCCTCTTGTGATCTATTGCTTAAATAAGCCTTAGTATGTAAGAAGGCTATGATTAAAGGGGTTAAAAATAAAACACAAAAACTTTGTTTGTCTGGTAGGCTATTCAGTGGAGAAGCTACAGTGATTGTAATTTAGTGCTGTATAAAATGATGTATTAAAATGGCTTATGGTTGCAGTTAAACATGTAAAGCAGCTCTATTTATTTCAGTGCCATGAAACTTAATAATAGTAGACTACGCCATCAAAGTCAAACATAAATTTCAAAAGTGTGACTGTGCAGACCCAGAATCAGGGGTTCTTAAACTGATTCAAATGTGTAAAGATTTTACTTTTGTGTGTGTTGATATTATTCATTAGATGAATCAGCTCTTTCAATAGTTATGGCAGGTTTAATTCAGGTTAACTAAACTCACCGTCAGAGTAAGAGTTGGGCTCTGTGGGACGATATTTTTCTCAGCCATGTAGATCACTTTGGAGTCATATTCATTCTTGGCGATTGCTGAGACTTTAATGCTGTTGTTGAACAACATTTTTGGTCCATAAATTTCAAAGGGGATGTTGATGAGGAAGAATAGCTCTGTAAACACACATGCAGTTTCAATAAAGATAACAGACTCAGCAAGTCAAAAATAATGAAATAACAGCCACCATATGTTCTTTCATACACACACACACACACACACACACATATATATATATATATATATATATATATCACTGCTGTCAGAAGAAAACCTCGCATCTCCATTTTTGTAGTTTTTCAGTTTTTGACATAATGTGATGTGTTGTTCTTTACATTGTGTGTAAATTTCATGATGAAAGGACCAAAAGAAAGAAGTAGTAGAGGAGTAGCATCATGTTTTGCTGGACTTGTTTCATGGCATGACGTTACATACATGTCATTAACTGAACCTCATATCTACCCTCTACAGTCAAATTTGCAAGCTTTTTTGTTATTCAGATATGGCAAATTGTTTACAGAAAACATTTATGAATTTATTTTAATGCACACACTTCTGAAATCTCCATAGACAGCGTTGCCAATAGGATGTGACACTCTTGAGCCGCTGCACACAAGCCTAAGGTCACCATGCCCAATGCCAAGTGTCAGCTAGAGGGGTATAAAGCCCCCCCAGCATTGGGCTGTGGAGCAGCAGAACTGTGCACTCTGGAGTGATAAAGCTCCATCCAGTACCTTTGGGATGAGTTGGAGTGATCCACAACTGACCATCCAACATCAATACCTGACCTCACTAATGCTCTATCAAATCCTCACAGCAGTGTTCCAATATCTAGTACAGTGGGTACCAACCCTGGCCCTGAATGAATGATGAAATGAAAGGAACCTTTTAGCCAACTGTGTCTGAACACATCGGAATTAGATCTCCGCATTTAACCCATCCGTGCAGTGAAACACCACATACACGCTAGTGAACACACTCACACTAGGGGGCAGTGAGCACACTTGCCGGAGCGGTGGGCAGCCCTATCCACAGCGTCCGGGGAGCAGTTGAGGGTTAGGTGCCTTGCTCAAGGGCACTTCAGTCACGTACTGTCAGCTGAGAGGATCGAACCGGCAACCTTTCGGTCACAAGGCTGGTTCCCTAACCTCCAGCCCATGACTGCCCCAAAAAAGCAAGTCATAGTCGGCAGGATCCTGGAGATCTACCTTCCTGCAGAGTCCAGTTCCAGCCACAATCTGCTGCACCTGAATTAACCTCTGCAGGAAAGTGGATCTCGAGGAGGAGGGTTGGTGACCACTGATCTAGCGCAGAGGTTCCCAACCTGATCGTCTGGCCTCCCAGATGGTCCACCTTTTTTCTCCAGCCTAACTCACAACACATAGGGATAAAGGAAAAATATGGACCATCTTGGGGGCCCTGAGAACCGGGTTGGGAACCACTGATCTAGTATAAAGCCTTCCCAGAAGAGTAGATGCTGTTACTGCAGCAAAGGGGGAACAGTGGATTAGGCCTAATCTTGGAATACTTTACATATATGGTATGCTGTGTTGACAGGCAGGAGTAAGGGAAGTTACTGTCATACCTCCATTAGGTTGGAGTCGCACCTCATTCTGTTCCTTGTAGATGTGCCCTGTGGGGATGCCAGTATACCTCATGGTCTGCGCATTGATCTGGAGACTGAGAGTCTGTGGTGTGGAGCGTTTATTGCACACAGTCAGGCTCAGCTTGATGTCTGAACCACTTACTGGCTTTTCCACCTCCTGAATCGTCATTAGCACATCATGAGAAGCTGGAACATCTTCACTGTCATCAGAAACGGACAAATTTCTCACGGCACGATTGAATCTATCTCTCTCTGCCCTGGAGCCTGCAGGTATATTGTGAGAAATAATTTTTTTTCCACAGTAAAAAGTCAAGTTATACAAAGAAAATGAAGCAAAGGCTTGTTAATACTGCCTGACATATTGATTTGGATTTGAGGTTATCAACAACAGATGTCAGAAGTCGTAGAACCTGTCTTGTCAAGGACAATACCGAAGATCATTTTTTATCCCACAGAAAAGGGGGAAGTGCCATCATACACCCAGGTTCACTGGGTTTTGGAAATACAATGACTTCTGTATCTCCACAATGCAATCCTATTACATTTTACAGACTGACCTTCTAGGTATTTGTATTGATTAGTGATGTCCAGTCTCATGTCACTTCCCACAGCCTTGGTGCTGATGAACTGTCCAACAGACCATGTATCTGTACTGATCTTTGTCTTGGAGCCATCAGGCCTCAACATCCATTTCACAATGTCTGCATTGACCTCCGCAAACACGAAAGGTACGTCGTACTTCACATTGGTGTGACCCTCCAGGATGGCCTTCACTGGAGCTGGACCGCAGCAGAACACACCTGCATTTGAACAGAGAATTGAATTTATACTTGTATCAAGTTTGAAGTTTCAATACGTTATTGCCATTTTAGTCAGTGCTTGACAAAGAATATTTCTGTGCCACTCTGGAAGTAAAAAACTGCACAAAATATATTTACATTAATATGTGTGGCCAATGGCGGGTCTGGGGTTCCCGCCGGACTCATGTTTCTGAGCCATCAAGTTCAAAGGTAGCTCTCCTAGGTGCTGACAGCAGCTGTCAAAGTTTAGCACCGCATGTTTTGGACAGCCTGCGGCCACATGGCAAATACCGCACGTCTGGCCACTGTTGATTTCAACAGCTGCGATTGTTCACCTTGACGGTGCCGGCCCTTTAAAAAGGCCCGTCAGAGAATCGGTCAGGTGAGTGGCTCCCATTCCGGTGGCTGTGGCTGAACAAACGCCTCTTTTGTTTTCTTTCTTCTCTTGCTCTCTACTTTTACAGGGGACTAAACCTGCCTTATTCCCTGGGTCGACTTGCCCCTGAGCTGAACCGCCACTCCTCATGACAGTAAAGAGAGAGAGGGAACACTCTTTAGATGCCTTTAAAGAGACTATATGCCATACATTGAGGAATTATTTATTTCTTTTGTTGACTGTTTACGTCGAGAGACTTAATAAACTCGGCCCAGAGCCGCCCTGAACAGAACGCCCCACATATGTTACTAGCAGTTCAAAGACAGACTTTCACATGTGGTTTCCATAATCAGTTGCTGATATTCACTAAACTATGGCTTTGTGTTGTTGACAGAGGCAAAATGTTTTAGTTTTATAAGGTTTTATAATAGTTTGCATACTTAAAGTGAACTATACCTTCACTCATCTCCTGTGGAGTTGGGTCCAGCACCTGCCAACCATCATAGAAGCCACTGTCAGAGATATCAGGGCGCTTCATCCAAGCCTCCACCCAGACATGGAAGTTCCTGCATAGAAACATGAGTATAAATAGAATGGCAAAATGTGATAATGAAAGAAGCTTGAACTAATATTTGCTTCTTTTTGCATTATAGAGCTCTGCATAAAGCAGACTCACCATATGCTGTCTTTCCCATCCTCCTTGGTCAGTAGTCCATAGACATCTCTGTACTCATCAATAAGGAGGTTGCTGTTAGTGTCATGAGCTGACTCAAAGTTGGTGACAACACGGCATGGAATGCCTAAACACCTCAGCACTGAAAAGGCACAAAAGTATATGGTGACACTTTATAGGTTTTGGATTGAGGTTAAGGTTAGGGTTAGGATCAGGGCCTCTGTTAGGGTTAGGTTCTCGGTTTAGGTTTAGGTTAAGGTCAGGGTTAGGATTAGGGCCAGGGTTAAGGTTAGGTTTTGGGTAAGGTTGGTAAAGTTAGGTTTCGCGTAATGCAAGTAACATATTAACAATACATCTACTTAATGTAAGTAATGTATTAACAAAACATGTTCAAGATATTTACTTCAGTGTATTCAGATGCTTCACTGCTGCTACTTCACTGATATATTGTTGATGCATAACTGCTAATCTGTCAAGAGTTTATTAATCATCTACAAAGGGCCACTCCAAATAAAGTGTTATCAAGTATAATATTGGTTGTTGGATACATTGGTTATTGGAGAATTGGAAAACTCAGATTAAAGGCCTGAATCATTGCCTCTTCGCTGTTCGCAGCTCAAATGCACTGCTTGTGCTGGCCGGTCCATCTTGTCTAAGCTACAGTCCTGGACAATTATTTATGATCAATCCATACCTACCCCTTCAACTTACACAATTTTGTGCTTGACTGTAGCAGCGGCCTCACATGATTCCATGATCATTTTTAGTTAACATGCAACAACCACTTACTAGCACTTACTAATGTAAACTTACAACAATAACTACATAAGGACTATGGATTATGGACCACTGTAAACAATCACTGTGGGCCTGTGACATCCTACTTTATTCAGTCAGGGAGCATACACTTAAAAACCAGTTTATTAGGAAAACATGTACACCTGCCAATGCATGCAGTTATTCAACAGAGCAATTCATAAAATCAAGCAGACAAGAGCTTCAGGATGAGAGAGGTCAGAGGAGAATAGCTAGACTTATTCAAGCTGACAGAAAGGCTACAGTAACTCGAATAGCCACTCTTTAAAACATCTGAACACACAACACATTGAACCTTCAGGTAGATGGGCTACAACAGCAGAAGACCACATCAAGTTCCAATCCTGTCAAGCAAGAGTAGGCTATGGTGGGCCCAGGCTCTCTAAAACAGGACTGGAAAAACACCACGTGGTCTGATGAATCTCGATTTCTGCTGCAACATTCAGATGGTAGGCGTCAGAATTTGGCATAAACAGCATGAATCCAAGAAGCCAACTTGCATTGTATAAACAGCTCAAGCTGGTGGTGGTGGTGTAAGGCTGTGGGTAATGTTTTCTGGGCACACACTGGGCCCCCAAATTGGCCTACCAATTTGGAATTCACTTCTGTTGTTAAGGGCATTAGTGAGGTTGGGCACTGAAGGATCTTCCCCAAACTGTAGCCCCAAAGTTGGAAGGACACAATTCCTTAAAATGTCAATGTATGGTGTAGTATTAAGATTCCCCTCACCAGAATTAAGGACCCCAGCCCAATCCATGAAAAACAGCCCTGACTGTTATTTCTGCTCCACCAAACTTTGTAGTTGACACTATGTCTTCAGGTAGGTAGCGTTCTCTTATATTCATAAAATTCAGATTCTTCTGCATCTGCTAAACCCAGTGTGTCCTACAGTACATCAGTTAACACCAGGTTACAACTACTTCTACACGGCTGAGTTGTTGTTGCTCCTTTCACAATAAAATCAGGGGCAGCTCTTGCACGGTAGAATTTTAACAAACTGACTAGTTGGAAAACTGGCATCCTATGGGAGTGGCACATTGAAAGTGACTGAGCTCCATTCTACTGTCAGTGTTTGTGGAGACTACATGTCTGTATGTTTGATTTTGGGTAAGTGTAAAACAGCCAAACCCAATAATTGGCAGGGATGTCCATGTAGTGTAAAAATGCATTAATTTTGGAACAGAATCTGTGAACATGTTTTACCTGTACACATAACAGCAGCAAACACCCAGCACTGTCCATATTTCACTGGACGGCATTCATTTTTAAACCAGTGCCTTAAGATGTCCACGCTGCTGCTCCAGAACACTGGGTTGACTCCATCACTGTATGAGTCGTCCCATCTTCCCCATAACACACCGTCGTCAGCATCATCTTTATTTATCTGTAGGATAGATGTGAGAAAATAAGGGAGTAACAGCAGAAGCAGAAGTCGATTTATAGTTATTGAATCAAGGTTGTTTGTTATTGCACAAAGATTTGGTGTAATAGTGCAAAATCCACATAGAGCCAAAGTATTTATCATAATGGTGGAAAATACTAACAACATGTGCATAGCCTATATAACATAGAGGAGAACTCTCACATTCGCACAGGCTGTTAACACAAAAAAAGCAAAGTGACATACAGTAGCATTCAAATGTTTGGGCACCCCTGGTCAAAATTTCTGCTACTGTGAGTAAAAAATAACCTGATTTCCAAAAGGCATAAACTTGTCGATGATGCATTTCTTTAATATTTTCAGCAAGACTACTTTTTCTTTCCATCTTTTACAGTTTCCATGTCTTACAAAAAAGGTAAAGGGCCTGAAGCAAAAGTTTTGTCAGTTCTTACTAACACCTCCTTTAGCAAGTATCCCAGCTTGTAAACACTTTTTGTTGCCAGCTAATAGTCTTTCTAATCTTGTTTGGGGGCTTTTCACCCATTCTTCTTTGTAAAAGCCTTCTAGTTCTGTACGATTCTTGGGCCATCTTGCATTCACTGCTCCTTTGAGATCTATCCACAGATGTTTGATGATGTTTAGGTAGGGGGGACTGTGAGGGTCATGGTAAACTTTCAGCTTGCGCCTTTTGAGATAGTGCTTTGTGGATTTTGATGTGTGTTTAGGATCATTGTCTTTTTGTAGAAGCCATCCTCTTTTCTTCTTTAGCTATTTTACAGAAGTTGTGATGTTTGCTTTTGGAATTTTCTGTTTTTCAGTTGAATCCATTCTTTCATCTTCCAGTGAAATTTTTCCCATCCCACTGGCTGCAACAAAAACCTAAGGCATGATCAATTCACTCCCAGTTGGACAAGTAGTTCTTTTCACGAAATTCTGCACTCTTTTTTCTCGAAACACAGCTTTGCTTATTGTGGCCAAAAAGTAGCTTCTTCAGTCCACAGAATTTGTTTCCAAATGGAACAGGATGTTTAGATGTTCCTTTGTAAACTTCTGACCCTGAATTTGTGGTGAGGATGCACAAAAGGTCATACTTGTGCAGGTGACGCTGGACAGTAGGCAAGTGCACTACCACTCCAGAGTCTGCTAAATCTTCCTGAAGGTCTTTTGCAGTCAGGTGGGGGTTTTGCTTTGCCTTTCTAGCAATCCTACAAGCAGTTCTCTCTGAAGGTTTTCTTTTCTTCAACTTGAGTGAACTGAGGAAACGGCTACCTAAAATGCTTTGTTACCTTTTAATAGTCTTTTTCTGTCTTGTTTGCATCAATTCTTCAGAGTGCTAGGCAGCTCCTTAGAGGAGCCTGTAGCTGCTGATTGTTGGGAAAACAGGAATCTTGCCTTTTGAATGACATGACGAATCATGCTTAATATGACCAAGGTCAATTTTGCTTTTAGTTTGGCTTAAATATTAATATGGTATGTTATAATATGTTATGCTTTTACATACTATTCTTAATATTCATATGTCAACCCTCTTATAGGCATTAGTTGTGGTGACATGGATGTAAAACTTTTGGTACCTACCATGGCACTCACCACCCGCCCAACATAGATGGGACTGCAGCGTGCAGAAAAATCTTCTATTGCATTCCTTAAACAATGCTGGTTCACATCCAGGAGCTTCAGGCAAACGTCAATTATATCATCTTCGAACTGAAAAACAAGTAAAATTTACACAGTAAGTGATATTTTGTAGCACCTTTATATTGAGTGGGCTTAATGAAAGTGAGTCAGAGGGAGGTTATTTCACATGACGTTCTCTAAGAAGAGAAAACTGACAATAAATATTGTTGAAATATGACTGAATTGTACTTTATTTGATTCGACATTCAGTTGTTGACTACATAAGATGTTGATATACCAACTAGGCTCCTTCAGTAAACAGTATATGGCACTGAATCATAATGCAAGTTACACATTATGATGTTCTGGATCTTTGCTTGGGATGTACACCCGTAAGGCCCTGCCACCAAAAATTTGAAACCATAGTTTTTAATGGAGCTATGCACACCGGCACAGCAATGGTACATCAATATTTATCAGTGCAACAAGATCCTGCCACTCAGCATTTTGCCAATACCACCATATTGAGACCACAGAAAGCCACAGTGGATAACAAGTGGCTTAAAATGTACACAGAGAGTCTTTTAGATAAACAAACATATGCTAGTGCTAAGTTACCTCAGCTAATGTTTCCCATCTGTTTCTGATTTTGTCTTTGTCCTTGATCTGGTCTCGTTTTGCTGTGCTGTGTCAGCTTCAGGGTGTGTTACTCCGCTTTTCTGTATGTAATTGTTTCTCATGTGTTTCTTTGTTTGCTTCATGCTCAGTGTTTTATTTAATTTATATTCTGCCTTAATGCTTCCCTTTTGTGAAAACATGTAGGCCTATGCATATGTATTTATCTATGACTGCTGCTTGTCCAAATATTGGGTGAACTAATTTTGTAAAAATATTGAGAAAATAAATATTTTTATGTTTTTCTTGGTTTCCAATAGCATTAACATCTTAAATAGAAGATTTTGCTTTTCGGGAAAACTCAACACTGAAGGAACATCTGACAATAGTACTACTTTTCAGTCATTTTAGTGGAAAGTAACGGAGTGAAAATCAAACATTACTCAGAAAGTTTCAAAGGAAAGCAAAGTATCCCAAATCTTTTGGATATGCTAAATGAGCTTACCTGTCCAAAGTCCCAGGTCATAGCTTCAATAAAATCGCAGTTTCCTCTATAAAGCAGACCCTGTTCATTCATTACATACTCTTGTCTTTCTTCCTTCTTAGGCAGGTACACCGAGTCATCTAGCACAGAGATTTACACACAGATTCAGACTGCAGAGGGCCAGGAGAAATGCCTCCCCCATTAAGAACAGTGTCCATTTACTGTAAAGCTAAACCAGATCTGTGCCTGAGTTTATTAAGTACAGGATGATGATGATGATGATGATGATGATGCATAAATAACCACACATTTAGGGCAAATAAACTGGAACAGCAGAAATCTTTAAAAAGGGGGCCTATTGCCCAACTATCAGGGCAAGGAGCCCCCTATCTGGGGTAAGAAGCTGATATGGTGAATCTTCAATTTGTCTCAGAAATTGTTATTAATAAAAAAATTTATTATTAAATTAAGATCGTTGTCACTTTGTCTGAATGAATTTCCTTTAGTTCAAAACAAATGGCAGTAAAACAAACACTTGAAAGGTCAAATTTTGTTCAGCAATGAAATAGTTATTGTGAATGTATCAATTGCTGATATTGCTATGATTTACACTCATTTATAATAATAATGATAATAATAATTTAAAAGCAACAGAATGCACCAATTATTTGGTAAGCGTAAATGACTGTAGTATATGACACAACAGGTCAGGTGAGGATGTAATTCTGTGGCGCTGCAAAACTTGCATACAAACGCAGCTCCAGCAGGGCATATTACTATTATATAGTTACCCTATATAACTTTTAAACCAGGCACAAATATGTACTAAAAGAAAAGCAGAAATCAAACTAATAGTACATTCCATTCATGTACCTTTACACCAGGGATTGAACAGAACAGTCAGTGTTCCTATTGAGGTTTCTGTAGTGCTGGTAGTTCCAGTCAACATAGAAAGCTTGTAGAGTCCAATGCAGGCATCAGGTGGAGAGTAGATAGTCATTGTAAAGCTTGTGTCTGTGCTGTTGCTCAGCTCCATGCTCCATGACTTGCCTAAGCCACAGCGGGCTTGAAGGCCAAATGTCGACCGTGTGCCCTTCGCTTCAGATGCATTTGGACCTTAAATATGACAGAGAACAAGCTGAAGACACAGCCAGCAGTGACGTAAAGAGCAGGGAAAATGCTTTCAGGTTAGTGGTACTCCAGAGCTTGTATTCATAAAGCTTCTAAGAGTAGGGGTGCTGATCTACGATCTTACACACTGTGAGAGCTCAAAGGTTTTGCTGCTTTTGTGGTTTCTCAGGCTTGTCATGCTAAAACGTGAATCAAATAAACATCTTAAACAATTCTATAGGAATGCCTAACAACATCCCTGTCTGGATGTGCTTACTTTACTGCTGCTTTCATTCACAGACTCTTTTCTCAGCTAGTGTGTTTAAGTACCTGTTCTATTGAGCAACTCGGAATTCTCAAGTTACCCACAGGTCATGTACAGTGGATATTCCACTCAGCTGCTGACAGATTTAGCCATAGAGGATTCATACAATCTCTGATTCAACTTCTATTTACTAGATTTCACTCAGCTATTCAAATTTCACTCAGCCACTGGCATACAACACTAGCAATTTAGCAAACACCGCTTGCTGTGCTGTACTATATTAAACCCAACTAAAAAGAGATCACACTTGGCTTGAGGTTTAGACTGAAAGGGCTGTCAATCTAAGGCCTTTAAGAGAAACAGACAGAGACTAATTGTCTGTTAATGTTACTAGCCCAGTCACAGCATACATTTTAGCTGGAAAAAAGCAAGCATGTGAAGAGATAATTAGCTGACACCAGAACATAATGAATCTATAAAATGATGTTTCAAGTTTTATTCCACAAAATCTATAAGATTGGAGAATAAATTAAACTGATGTTTACAGGGATACTCTCACTGCGGTGCTTCCTATGTGCTAGAGCTATATATACACTCAAATAAAACTCTTTTATATCTGCTTTCCTTGATTTTGCCCTGATATTTTATCCGATACGTTTGTATATACAGAGGCTAGTGAACTCTGCTAATGTATTTAGTGAGTCAGGAGCTAAAGATCAGCCAAAATCAAGGAAAACCGGTAGGAAAGGAAGATTCATTCAAGAGCTTTCATTCAGAACAAGCCTGGCCTGACTAACCCTGCTACAATGGCGGATCACTCATAAGACACTGCACCATTACATCACATACTCAATCCCATAGATATACATACCTAGATGCCACATTGGGTCCAGCCAGGGGTCAATGGCACTGCCATTTTGGGGCAGTGAAAATCGCTGCTGGACTGCATTCAGTACCATTGCAGACCGGCAGTTTAGAAAGATACTGTCCAGAATCATACTATTTCAAGAATATTGCACTCAGAAGGGGGAATGGGATTATATATAATGGAGGGAACACAGTGATCCACACTCATGTTTGTGTGATGTTTATGTGTAAATATGGCCGTGTAGTTGGTGATGCACAGAGAACCTTATTTCATTTAATAGTCTATTCAGGGGATCTTAACTTTATGTAGTATTTATTTATTTACAGTGATGGTTAATGCTTTGTAGGTAAGTTACAGCATTCCTTAATCCATGTAGATATTCATAATAGATTAACGTTAGCACCTTCTTACACCAACCTGAAGCTGGCTTCTTATTTGCCAGCTTCACATTCAAATTTTCCCGTTCCACCTTAAACGGAGCGGCTTCAGGCACCAGAAAGTGACTGTTGCACCATTTGAGGTGGAACAGGAAAAGTCAAACAAGAAGCTGGCGAATAGGAAGCCTTACTGTGTTTTGGGGGTTTATTTTATTTTTTATGTGTATTAATATTAGAAGTGATTCCCACACTGATGAATTTACTGATATGTGTGTTTATGTTTTTCACGCTAAACTCGGTTTTTAACATCAGGTGCAGACTGGATAATCTCCTGCTGGTACAGAGGACTAATTAGCACGATCAAATCACAAAACAAATTTGGTGAAAATCGGTTGAGTAATAAGGAAGTTATGGCCGAATTAATCCTGAGACTCATCGTCTCTCAATATAAGTGAATTTGTTCACAAGCGGATCTTGACTTCTCCAGATGTGCAGATGTATCACCTCAGATAGAGAACAACAGACCACAGGGCATGTAGCTATGTATATCTATGCTCAAGCCTTATTCATGATGATGTTACTATCAGGAACAGATCCTAGGTCAGTGCTCCTGAATACAAGCCCTGGATGGAGACTGAACTAAAGGCCATAGTCAATGCAAATGTACTAGCCTGTGAATGAATATTTGGCCATAAAGTGCCGTACCTGTCTGCACAATAAGTTGGAAGAAGTCCTGCCTTGGTCGGAAGGGTTGTTCTGCATGGAAGGTCAGCTGGAAGGGCTGCCCCCTCCGCACTATCAGCCGGTTCACAGCAATGTCATCAGTGTGGTGCTCTTTGTTGTTAGCCGTACAGTGGAGCTGCACCTTGTGCACATCTGTGAGTGGAGAAGGAGTGGCAGGTTTGAAGGATGTAATCGTTTTAATTAATATTAAAACTTTTCACAAAAATCTGAAAATGTACAAACAACATGGTCTCAAAAGACATCCCTGTTGAGAATGTTAAAAAATAGGATATGCTTTTATAGCATAAGCAGTAGCGCTTTATTTCACAGTACAGTAAGTAACTAGTATTTAATAGGTAAATATGAAGTACTTACAAGTAATTTTCTGGTACATACTTTGCTCACACTTAGTAACAACTTGAAAAGTATCAGGTATATACAACAATACTTATCAGGTATATTTCAGCTTTTGATATTACTTGGCAAGTTTACTGGTAATTTCTCTGTAATGCTGTAATAATATTATGTTAACCAGGCTGTAAAATAAAGGATTAATTTGTACATGGTAATTACAAAGTAGCTATCCTCTTATTGTAATCATATGCAGAAATTTGCCATAGTACCAGGCACATGCTGGCAAGTTTAATGGAAACGACAGTAAAATACAGTGTAATTACACAGCATTGTTTTCTTGCAAAGCATCACAATACATAGTGTTTATAACCATATATAATGTTTACATAGCCATACATAATGTTATAGATCTGATCTAGGTGAAAGCACAGCAGTGGTTAGTGGTGCCTAGGTTATAGTGTGAAATACGGATGAATGAAGCAAAAACACACAGAGAATTAAAGCAAAAATGAAAATGTAATTTAGTAAAGCAGTGAACTACAATGCACAACTAACTGCACTCTAGAGTTCAGATTTGACCCACAGACAGCATAGTGAACAACATACCAAACTTTTTAGATAACAGTGGTTAACTTACACAAAAAAACAAATCCACACACATCTACAGTCACACACAGAGAGACAGACTTGCTTTGAAGAATATCTACAACACAGTGAAGAATCCAATAGGACAAGAGCAAAACCTCAACATAGAAAAATGCAGAATAGTGAGACCTGCTACAGAAGCTAACTGGCCAGTGATGTATCTTAACCCTCTGTGATCTGAGGTCATTCACTCTCGATTTGTTCATCTCTTCTTAAACTCTCCTTTAAAGTCTCTTCATATAACATGATCCTCATGTTTCATATCTAAATGCTCTGTTATCTTCATCACTACTTTCCAAAACCTCTGCAGCAGCTTCAGCAGCTGTAAACTCTCAGCCCCTCTTCATAGGCTCATAACTCCGGATGTGAGTCTCGTATGATCTCGTGATAAGATGGAATGAAAAGGGCGACTCTACAGATTCAGGAAGTGTTTGAACTGGGCACAGATGGGAGCTGTAGCTCTGTGCATGTTTGCTTATTAGATTCTGTTCTAAACTCTGTGTTTGAATCATTACTGAACTCTGCTTTGTGCCTTTTGGAGCTTAATCATTTGTTATATTCCTTTATACAACAGTTAGTTCTGGCCGCACAAGCTGATTGGTAGAGAGGCGTTCTAACCGTGCTGTTATTTCACCGTAACATCACGGGTTTTTCACAAACACTATCACTCCGCTGAGATGCCGTTGCTAAGCAACGACTTTGACAGCTATTATTCAATTATTTTATTTTCCAGAGTGGTAGAGAGCTGCTTAGATGAGCCCATGTCTGTTGACTGTTGGGAGGTTTAAGGAGTCAGAGTGTGTATAATGCTTTCCTATTGATGAAAGTGAACGAGCCACAGCCCTACCAAGCTAATTAAAGTCTGAGACCTTGGCAAAAGTTTGAGAGCTCAACTTTCTTGGGGTGCCTAAACCTTTGCATGGTGCTCCTTTTCTTTTTTCCCCCAATCTAAAATTGTACAAAACTAATTTTGCATTAAATGTTGCAAAGAATGCTTCATCTAAAAAAATTTGCCTTTTGGAGATCAGTTCATCATCTATTCACTTAACTATACATAGTAACAGGAATTTTGACCTGGGGGACAAACTTTTACTGTATTTCTTGAAACGGTTTGGTAGTTACATGTTAATGGCAAGTATCCCTTAGCTGAAATATTTTCCTCATATTTCTCACATTAGTTACTGTAGTTATGTATTAAACTTGCAAAGTATGTACCAAGTATTCATTACTTATAAATGCTACATACTTACCACAATATTCTGAGTACACGCCGGGTATGTACAGCTGTACTTACTATGTACTTGCCAAGTATGCACTAGAAAATTAGTTGTATGTATTAAATACAAGGTACTTACCATATCATAAAAGTAAATGCTATCATATAGTATAGTATAGTTCACTTACTCAGCTCGTAATTGGACCGGCCAGACATTTTTTAGCAGTTGAAACCTCTTCTCAGGAGTCTGGTGTGTTTTGATGGAGAATTAGAAGTGGAGGTTGCTTTTAAATGTTGCGCCTGCCCTTTTAATCATCAACAAACTGTTATGAACACACCCTTAATCAGCAAATGATTATCTCTTCATTTATCTGTACTCTAAAATGTATACATGTGAAAAGATTGAAGTCTCAGGAATTCTGGGTGTGATGCACTTTCTGGGTGTGATGCACATCCATTTTCACTTTGCATGGATCTTTATCATTTCTCAATTATTCAGTGGAACCACAAAATAGCGACAGCTGAACAGGTGACAGGAGACAACACATAATGGGCGTCATCATCTTTTACATAAAAATGTTGATGACAAATTCAGATCACACAGAAAAACATTTAACATTAACTGAAACTTGAGCAGTCATTTGGAATGGTGTTCTTTATTGGGACAGCATGGTGGCGTCACAGCAAGAAGGGCCTGGGTTCAATTTCCCAGCCGGGCAACCAGGGTCCTTTCTGTGTAGAGTTTAAATAAAGCGCTGAGTTAAAGAACTGCATTTTCAGATGTTTATTAAAAGTGAGCTCTGAGCTCGACTGTCTAATAAAAGCTGAACTGAGCTCCACAGTTTAGAAGCAGAATAACTGAAAGAGTCTCTCCACGTTTTCTGTGTTTTACTGAAAGAGTTCAGAAGGTCAGAATCTGCAGATCTGAGATCATAAACAGACATTCAGGAGCTTTAAGGTCATTTAGAGCTTTAAAAACCAGCAGCTGAGCTTTAAACTCTCTCTAAAAGATCCAGGCGGTCAGTGCAGTGTGTAAACGGGGTGATATGAGCTCTCTGTGTTGGTGCTGTATTGTTGGTGCTGCTGTATTCTGTATGAGTTCAAGATGATGGACTGTTTTCTCCAGTAAGAAGATTATTACAGTGATCAACTCTGCTGAACAAACGCAGCAACGAGTTTGCTGAACAAACTCTGCATCGCTCTGAGAGAGAAAAGGCTGAACTTTAGTGATTTTCTCAAATGATTAAAAGCTGCTTTAGTGACTGTATTTACATGCAGGATAAAACAGAGGTCAGAGTCTAAGTTCACACCCAGGTTTCACACCCAGGTTTAGTGTATGAAGCTAAAGATCCGAGCTTCTCACAAAGCAGCTTTTTTTTTATTTAGTTGTAGAAAATTGTCACATCCACTGAGAAATATCTAACACACAGATGGCAAGTCTGTCAACAGTTGTGATCATCAGAAGGAATGGAAATGTATAATTGTGTATCATCAGCATAGCTATGAAAATTCCTAATGACATCATCTACAGGTAACATGTACAAAGAGAAAAGCAAAGGCCCTAAAACTGAACCTTATGGGACTCCACATGAATGTTGATGAAAGATTTCCCAGTGAAACCAAGAACTGTACATTATCTAAACATATCTAACTCAAAAGAAACATGGATGCCAAGAGTATGGAACGAACCAGAAAATTCCGGGGCAAGTGTTTAACCACTACGCCACTAATGATAAATAAAACTAATTCAATTGCTTGTTACTACATAAAGTAAATTTTGAAATTGAACTGACAAGCTATTTTTCTCCAGTGTAGTTTAATGGCTATTTGTCAGACAGAGGCAAGGGCTCCATTTCCCTTTTAGTTCATCTCTAATTTCAATTTTTCTTCAGGTGACTGAAGAAAGTGCAGGTTCATGGCTGTGCCCCCTGTGCTTCCACAGCCAAATGAGCCTATAGCAGGATGCCAAATAGCCCCCTGTTTTCTTAAGAGCTGCCCTGGTGAACTTAGAAAGCTTAAGCAGAGTTCCTGGGGTGTGTGGGGGCTCACCACCCCCCTTTGTATTCTTTTTGCAGCAGAGGTTTCAGAATGTCCACTGTGCCTATAAAAACACATACAATAGGACACACTCTCTCGGCCATGTCTGCTGCCAGACTTCCCTTGGGGCTATGTCTTTTTCCCTGGTGCACTCCACTGGTGCCTGTTTGAAGTGTGGCAAGAGGGCTGTGGTAAAAACCAACAGGCCGCCATGCTGCCCCGCCGGCAGGTCCTCGAAGTCAGTTGTTGTCTCTTTCACAGTCCTTCTGCTGGACTCTGCTGATGAGCCTCGTCATGCTGCCTCCTCTGCTGTCTTCACCAGGCTGCCTTTTCCTCGCAGTCCTTGGCCAGGCTCAGTCGTCTTCACTGTTTTGTCTTTGAGTGCATAGAAGTGTCATGCTCCTCCAGACAGCTGGGGGTGCATCCCACTTCTGATACCAATGTGGAATATGCTCCATTCCATGATAGCCACGCACCCACCCGACTTCCCCACCACCAAGCACAACATGACACATATAACATTGCTGCACCTCTGAAACTGAACATCAACAACTTATTTACAAATTGAACTCTCTTACTGTAAGTCCAGCACTACTGTGTTGCTATGCACTCTGCATGGCTATGCCTCTTGCACACACCAATGGCCAAACCAGCTTGTAGCAGGACTCTACAATATGTTTATTATGAGTAAAAGAAGAAAAGTTAGACCTATTTAAAAAAACCCAACTTCAATAATTCAGCTGAATTTCTGAAGGATTTGAAAGAAACAGCTCAAATACATCAGCATTCAATTTACAGTTGGCTTTTGCTGAAAGCTTCATACAGGCTTCAGTAGCAGTTCCAACAAAGTACAACAGCTTTTCTGTTCCATCAACAAAGAGAATGATTTAAAAAGCAAACCTATGACATGGCCATAAAAAACAATTCCTTTCAATCTACATATGTCTTTTTTTAAATCCTTGAGGGAAGCAGGTTTGGCTTCTCTAGTGAAAGTCGAATTGTTAGGTTCAGCAGTTGCTTTTGCACAGTCAACATCCATAACTCTTGTTTTTTTCACGCTTCTTTAAGCAGTACTGCATATATGGTAGCCTGGATTCATTCAGTCATATTTAAAAAGCTATTGTTTCAGATCACTACATTGAGCATATGCACATGTTCAGGCAATTGAAGACGCTTCTGCCTTTGAGTGAGCTTGTGGTGCCAGTGGTGCTTTTTCTTAAAATAATCGCAATAGATTACATTCTTCCAAGAAAGCCCAGCTGGCACTTTCAGTGCATTCTGTGCCGCTAAATTCAGACGGTTAGCAAAGCATTTGATATAAACCTGTTTTGCCGTTTGAGCTTCAATCCACTTGTTAGCATTATCTGTCACCAGTACTAGATCCTTATCAGACAGCCCCCATTCTCAAGTGACATGTTACAAAAGATCAGCTAGATTAGATCCAACATGCACCTGGTATTTAGGGCATGTGATATACCATGTGAAGATATATAATTGAGTTTAATTCAAAAACCGTATAGCCATTTGTACCCATTTTCGATAAAAAGAATGTGTTAATGGAAAACTATTTCTCTCATAAAGAGGATATTAGTTACTATATAGTATTAATGTTTTTTGTATGTGTAAAGCCCAGTCTTAATGTGTATCATAAATAAAAATCTAAAAAATTTTATTTATTAAAAATTGTTACATTTTTATTTTATTTTTTTTAAATCTAAAATGGTCTATAATGCATTTTGCAACAAAATCCCTCAATAACTTGTTACACTCTGTATGATGGATTGATTGGCTTTTCATGCATTTAGTTTAAGAAGAAAGTAGAAAGTTGCAGCGAACTTTAGTCAAATCTGTTCTCACCTTTCCTCAAGGGAAAGAATGCCAAGGGTTCTTGAGGTCATGCTGGTAATTGACACATCATGCGATACGCCCTTCTTTGCATACATTCCAACCATGTTGATAAGGATCAGGCAAGTCCAGCTTACAGTCCACAGGAACTGCTTACCCCAACCCTGGTTTAATGTAACCAGTATATATGGCTAATAAATTGGTTTGCACAACCAAGACATGCTTGATGCACTTAAGAAGAAGCAAATTTCTGCTGGCGCTTGCTGTCATAGCATTTACTTGCTCATTCCACTGATGATTGTGCTGGATGATGAGCCTCAGTACTTTGATTTTAGACATCATAACATTAGAAGCTACGAATGAGCATATAAAAGCAGGCTAAGGTGTCTACTAGGTTAACAGGGCTATGAGTTGTATGTTTTCCTTTTAGGCACCCAAATTGTCCAGAATCAAACATAATGCCCTTAAGCAGCCACTTAAGGGGAAAATATTCAGTAATTTTGGCCGACTGGGAAGTCAACGAGATGGGTTGTAATGGGATGGTGGGTGGGGTAGAACCAAGTGCAGACAGGGAAATCTGTGAACAAGGATTTAAGCGTTAGGGTTTAGTGTAAGGGTAAAGAGTATGTGATGGGGTAAATAGCATTGGTGGTGTGGATGGGAGCTTATGCTTATTCGGATTGATAGTAATGCTTAGTAATGCTGAGATTCAGGAGTGGAAAAAGGGCATGAAAAAAGAGATGTCGAGGTGACATGCTCAAACAAAGGCAGGTATCAAAATGCAATATAGTAATCAGAAAACAAGGCATTTAGAAATGAAATTAGTTTAACTCTCCTTCTCCCTTTTCTTCTTAACTTGAGAGGTGTTTCTCTTTTTAACTTTCCTAACTTTGCCTTTCTTTACTTTTCTCGACAGACACTAACATACCATACCAGTCACCCCTCTACAATTGTGTGACGCTGACTGCTGTTTGCCACGGTCTTAAATGCAGACATCTACAGGTGTATCTGGTTGTTGCTGATTAGCCCGTGGGCTTCTGGGAACTGGAGTTCCTCGGGCTAATAGCACCATGTAGTCGTCACCCTCTGCTGGCAACCGGCGGCATGAGCAGGACCCTTACATGGGTCTTAGCTAATTTAGATGTCCAGGACAAGTTTTTGATGTAGACAGGACAACTGCTTCTTTCCACTGACTATGAACGATGCCCTCCTTAAAAGAAGAATTTAAAATATGGCACAGGGGAGCACTGATCTCTAATAATGGGTGGAAATGACCAGATTTTACTGGAGTAATCATAATTTTTCCAAGAATGTAGCATCAAATGCTTGTACCTGCTTAATTTTCACATTAAAATATGTCTTAAAATATGATCTTTTCATAAGT